AACAAACAAACATCGCAAAATGCAAAATGTATAATTGTCATGTATATCTATATGAATGAGTGTATGTCATGTTATGCTTATGCTGACAAAATAAACAAGGAGAAGTAAATTGGATAAGGCATATGCTCTAATTTGTGTGTTATTGTGCATGAATAAGGCATAAAATATCAAAGAGTAAGACACAAGGAAAATTGACAATGAAGCCAAAGAAATTGTGAAGATTCAGCATGCTCGTTGGGTGAACAACAGCAAGCAGCAAGCCAATATTTGTTGGGAAAAATAGTCGCGAAGCCCTAGCGAACCCTCTCAGATTAAAGGCAGAAAGAAAAGGACTATAAGTTCGCTGGGTGAACTTGTAGAGAGTGTCTGTTGTGCAAAGTTTCAGCGAGGTCCCAGCAAGAAGGAAACCTTGGATGACAGTAAGTAAAGGGTCATAACTTCGCTGTGCAAATTTATGGTGAATTAGCTCACAAGACGAACAATAGTTCGCTAGGCGAGTCCAGATATTTTCCAGGGGCAGTTTAACTATTCAGAGGCACTTTAGGTGCCATAAAGTAGACCTCGCTATGTGAAAAAAGAGTTCGATGGGCGAACTGGGCAGACTTTAGTTGTACTATATAAGTACTTTTCACACTTTTTAGGGATCATAACCCCCATTTTCACATAGAAACTCATTTCTTCAGCATTTCTTCACCAAAAAGTGAGATTTTGCAAATAGAAGTTGGACTCGCATCCGAGTTCGATTATTCGACGTGGATGCTCATTCATCTTCTCTCAAGAGTTGTAAAGTAAGCTACCATGATTATGGGTAGCTAATTACCTTTGTATCAAAGGTAGAGGTAGTTTATTTTAGCTTTATGTATTTCTTTTTATTGACCTTGCATGTGAACAAGTGATGATTAATATATGATGAATATTTTTATTCTTAATGATTCATTCTTGTTTTGTAAAACTCTAAACATAGATTTTATGGAACTTGACCTAAAATATTCATCTATCAATTTATAGATTGAAGAGATCGGTCTATGGTTGATAAGTGTTTTGTATTGAACTTAAAGCTTACTATATTGGTTGTTATATGGAGAGATCATGTAGCGATGAATACAGTATTTCTCACGATGCTGCTGTAGAGATAGACGGTATTGAGATAATACACGATGATATTAATCAGATCTGACTTCACATGCAAGATTGAAAGAATACGTATAAGTTAGGATAGATGAAATCTAGTTTTGATATACTTTGTTAATTAAACACTTTATAATTTATAAGTTTTTCTACTAAAAATCATGACGATTTATGAAACAAAACTTGAAAATCCTTTTTCTTAGAACGGTAAACTATTGAAAGGAAAGCATCAGATATTGAACAATCCCTGTGGAGACGATAATAAAAATCCTCCTTTAACTAAATATTCGAACAATGATACAAAATTGTCAAGAACTATTCTCATAGTTCCTGATTTAACTGATACAATTCCAAAATGTTTTAAGGAATATTTTCTTAAGAAATTGAGGTTTAAAACCTTTTTTTGGTGTGTGATTTACCCGTATAACTTTATAAAAAAACCCTTGTGTTCTTACAACACACGATTCACTCAGACGCGACAGAGAAATCTTTCACACTTCCTCTCTTTCATACTTTGAAACTTCAAGTCTTGTCAAGTAAACCAATCATATATATATATATATATATATATATATATATATATATATATATATATATATATATATATATATATATATATATATATATATATATATATATATATATATATATATATATATATATATATATATATATATATATATATATATATATATATATATATATATATATATATATATATATATATATATATATATATATATTTGTTTGAATCTTTTTAGAGGCGGGCTTGAGATTTTTTCAAGTTGGATACCATCATCAAAGGATGTTGCGGTGATCACCAGACCTTGACTTGTTTGCTTGCATCTTTTACCGCTTGTCTTATTTGAATCCTCATGGGTTGTAAAGGTTGTTATGAAAGTCATACAGGTTGTATTATCCAAATATTATTTTAGTTGTTTTCATCAAAATCACATTATTGATATCAATCTTTGATCACTTCTTCAAGTAACATGAAAAAAATGGACCCACTGGAAGAAAGAAGAGCTAAAAACACTCAAGTACCCTAAATAGAAGAATCATCCCCTAGCCTGTAGTACTGGGGTTATATGCTGATAGCAAGGCCTGAAACATTTTGACAGTGAGAAAGTGTTTAATCCATTTCCTCATTACTTTTTCAACAGACTTGAAATGTTCTCGCTTCTAGCTCAAAGCGAACTAATTCCTCTAGAGCCGACCGTGACTGATAAAGGATTCCTTAGATCCTTAATATCCGACAAACCTTAGGGGCAACTGTTCTAGGACGGTTAAAGACCTAAATTGTTAAGGCCTAAATGAATGCAAATCCACTCCATATGACCTAGGATATAAAAGTCACTTCGCACGAAATGCAAGACACACGTTATGATCTCCACTTTTCACTACACTCATCTTGAATCTTGAAAAAATTTAGGTGTTGGAGTGTTAACCATGCAGATCCATCCTGCACTGTCGTATTAGAGATCAACACCACATATTCGGGATTTCACATTACCAACTTACACTAATTTATGGTTCTAGAAGGGAACAATTACCTATCAACTTTTTATTTTCTCTTCTTCCTCCCTTGATCAAAACCTTTTCTTTCCTCATCCATTTATCAAAAATTTAACTCTGATACCAGTTATTGAGAAAGTAGCAAATAAAAAAAACTGCGCATGCGGAAACACTTCCATAAAAGAAGAAAAATAAGTAAAAATTTAAAAACAAAACGCACAAGCTAATTATTCAACTTCTAATTTTTACAAAAAAATTACAAACTCTCTCGTACAATTGCAATTTTAAGAAGAAAATTGCAAACCCTCAAAACAACAATTTTTGAACTGAAAAATTATAAATCCTCTCTCAACTACAGTTTTTGGGCAGAAAAGTTACAAACCATCTCAAACACAAATTTTGGACGGAAAAATTACAAACTCTTTCCTAACTACAATTTTTGAAAGAAAAAATTGCAAAGCCTCTCAACTATAATTTTTGGACGAAAAAATTGCAAACACTTTCTTAACTACAACTTTTGAACAAAAAAATTACAAACCCTAACAACTACAATTTTTTGAACGAAAAATTGCAAACTCTCTCTAAAAACTCACGTGAGACAAACTACCAAAACCTCATTGCACTCGCAAAGCTACATGATAAAACTCAAACTAGCTATTAATATTTTTATTAATACATTAATTATTTTTTCTTCCTACTACCCGACATTGGACTTGAATGACTACACTATTTTACCCAACATATCTTCCTTTAATCAAAGTCTCACATTCTTAACTTTGTCATCAACTTCATCTTTAAAAAGTTTAAGATCATTATAACGATTAACCACATTTGTAAAATAATTACTCTTCAATCTTTTTATTTTCTCTTCTTCCTCCCTTGATTGAAACCTTTGCTTTCTTCCTCCGTTTCCCCCTTTTTTGATGTTGACAACACATCTCTCAATGAGATGATAAAAGAGACAAACAAATATATATTTGGAGTGATTAAACCCCCCTCAATTAATTAGAAAGTATAATCCACTCCTCCTAGGAGTATACTTCTTCCCCTTTGTCAAAATAAAAAAGACTAGTAAAAGATGCATTGCGAGAAATTAAATATGCAAACATCATACTTTATTAATTCAAATCATATTAGAGTTGAAGTACAAAAAGAAAGAAATTGAAGAATTTAAGAGTAGTGCGAAAAATAGGCAAACAAACACACTTAGAAACTAATAGGCGTAAGTGAGACTATTCTTCGTCAAAATCATCACCCAAGAACAAATCTCAAGGCAATTGCGTTGGGTTTTTGATAAAGTGATGAATTAGGAAGTTGATTTTACATTTCAATGATACACGCCGCATGACCACCACAATGTTAGAAAGACTTTCGATACAAGGAGTTAGTCCTTTATTCAAACCATAGACTTTGATACCACAGTTGAATCATCATGAGGGAAAATGATCCACATCGAGTCAAATACTCACTTAAAGGTCAAAAACTCACCCAAACAAATGAGAGAGACACCACATATTAAGTCAAAATCTTAAAACAATGACCGCATGAGTTATCTCATTTATAAAATACCGAACTTTTATTTTTCTAAACAATATGAGACTTACACAATTCACACTTGTTTCTAAAAAAAAGGATGGCATGGCAATTTCTTCTTAAACTATGTGTTTGGTTAAAAAAAATAGATTTATAATGAAATGTATTTTGAGAAGTTCAAGTGATCTGAGGGTAGTGTAAGGGTTGGAAGCGTGTTCATATAACGGGCCATAAAGCTACTAATTTGGCCCGTTAAAAAACAAAATTGGAAAATTAGAAGAAATTAAAACTAAGTATACCTGAGATTGAGATGGTGGAATAGTGTGATGGTCTCCAATTTCACAACACAACTTCATCGTTCTTCAATGCAACGTTAACCTAAAGTAACTAAATTTCTATTTCTTCAACTATTACTATACATTCATACACTAATTTTGTAAATTTTCTTCCGCTGATTCGAATCTCAATATCTCATATTTTACACCGTTAATTATTCTGCTAAAATTTTGATCATTTCAAAATGATTCCGTTAATTTCCCCTAAGCTTTGCCTAAATTAGTTCAGTAATTGAATGTGTGATTGATGCTAAACCTGTTTTCATTTCTTCTTATTCCTAATTATCTCATGTATTAAGTTTCTAATTGGGAATTCTTTGATGTAATTAGTGTATTTTTATTGCTATTTTCTGCGATCTTCGATCAACAAAACTTGATAATGATGTCAACATGTGGAGGTAAATGTGTGAAATAAAGTAGCATTGTGAAATGAATCATGTTATTGTTCTGCAGGGCATAGTTAGGTTAGTTCTTTGAGTGTGTGCTGGAATGGCTGCTACATCTGGGATAGTTGAGGAGGACACACAGGTGTCTTCTAGTGATAACATTCATCCTAGGCTGGATGTCTATGTGTGGGACATGGATGAGACCCTTATATTACTCAATTCCTTGCTGAAATCATCATATGCCGAGGCTTTTAATGGGCTGAAGGATGCGCAAAAAGGCCTCGAGCTTGGGAAGATGTGGGAAAATCTCATTCTACAATTGTGCGATGATAATTTTTTCTACGACCAAGTAAGTTTTGTTGGCTTTCTGTACCGATTGTCTCCCATGGTTTGTTTTTAGTTGTAGAGAGTTAGTTTGGTGCCGGGTTTCTGTGTTGCAGATTGAAAATTACAATAAGCCATTTCTTGATATTATGTCCAAATATGATGATGGGAGGGACCTATCTGATTATGACTTCAACAAAGATGAATTAGGCCCCCCACATGATGATGTCAACAAAAGAAAACTTGCATATAGGCATCGAGTTATAGCCCAAAAATACTTGCAGGTAAAACTTCTGGAGCACTATCGGTAAAGCTAATGACAAATTTTGGATGATATTGATTTTTACTTATTGAACATTGACTATTTATTAAAGCCTGTGTTTTCTCGATGGACTGGTTTTGTAAATATTACATGGTTAGCTAATTACTTGTTGAATTATTGTATATAAACTACCCCCTTGTACATTTCATTCATTCCATTTGAATCAATAATCATAATATGCAATATCTCTCCATTCTTAAGCTATGAGTTTGGAGAGCTCTTTGTCATATATATGAGTAAACCATACAATTGTTTTGTTTTATCACTCTTATTTAACAGTATAAGTTTCTACAACATGATATCTGTGATCTTTCAAGGTGACATGGTTTTTGATTGAGTTCTCTTTTACTTATCTGTCGTATTGTTTGTGCTCTCTAGAAAACCACAATTGTAAATGTGTATATAGCTGATACGGATTTTGAAGCAAGTTTTTTGAACTATGTTAGACTTTACTCATTGTCACAAACTTCCTAGATATTAAAATGGAACTTACAAAACATAGTTTTTGCAGTGTTATTTGTAGTCCTACTCTTATTAATCTAGATGGTTGCAAACATAGGGATGGTATTTTGTTGTGAACATTCTGAAAATCTATGGTATAAAACTTGCAACTGGCTTGTCAGTTTTCCTGTCATAACTTGTTTATTGAAGGTTTATGGGTTGTATATGATATTATGTGACGCGTGAGGTATCTTTTATAGTATGTAATTTAGATATAAAATACTTTTGAAATTGGTAAATAATGCTGTTTACAAAAAAAACTAAACTTTTTATGCATTTCTATGGGGAATTTGTTTGTTCCTATATTTTGCCCAAGTATATTTTGCTGAGTATAAATATTAACAAAAAATTTCAAATACTGCTGCACCTCTCTTCATTTTACCTTCTTTAAAAACTTGAAAATGTTGACAATTCATCAAGGCATAGGCAAAGCAAGCTTAGGAAATGCATGCTTGATCTCTAAAGAATTGATTGAGTATCCATATTGAAAATATGATGAAAGTTATACAATTATATATATTTGCCACTCCTAAAATAAATATTTTAATTATGGCATTAGAAGATCACTTGCAAGTAAAAGTTAACAGAAGAAAGCTTCAACGCTTCAAACAAATGCTCATAAATATGCTATTAGGCTACAATTTTGATTCGTGTCATCCTCACAAGCCTTGGCTCATAGGTGTGAGAGATGATAATTTGTTTTCTAATGGCAGAAGCTTGATAGACTTCATGAAGCAATAGTCTGATCTTGAGAGACTAAAAGATTATGGTGTAAGCGTAACCATACTAGTTTACTTTGTTGAAGGATAAACTTATTTTCTCTCTTGTTTCAGGGTTTACATAATATTTTAGATCATGAGACAATAAAAGTATGGGATGATTTGTATGGTAAAACTGATGAATATACTGACAAATGGCTTTCATCAGGTATGTTTTGACAATTCATTTATATTATATTTCGTTGCATAACCTGTATTAGTTATACCTTTCTTGTTTTTATTTATATTAGCACGGGCCTTTTTGGAAGAGTGTTCCGGTGAAAAGAAAGATGTGGTTTCTTCCACCGCTTATGGTAACACAAGCACTGACTCAACTAATGCAAAGCATCAACGTGTAAATGTTCTGGTGACATCTGGATCGTTGATACCATCTCTGGTAAAATGCCTGCTCTTTCATCTCGACAGCTTAATAACACATGAAAATGGTGAGTCATTTTATTCTATTCTGATTACTACAAATTCAATGTGACAATATATTTAGGTATAAATATGATTTTAGTCCATGACGTCATACATGCCCCAATTTAATAGCGTGGTGTGGCCTAATAAACTAACGTTAGGGACTAGAAGCAGTAGTTTTTGAATTTGCAGGACTAAATCCAAACAAAAAAAACATAGTGATTAAAACCAAAAAAATACTGTAATTGTCGATGACAATTCATATCTAAACTTAAAAATTTATCATCCCAAAAACCATCATCTTTTCGAAATTTCAACCATTCAAAACTACTAATAATCATTATAATGGAGTGAAGAGTTCATTCTTGAAAATGAGTCAATGTTACTTGCCAGTGAAAATGATGTATTATCTATCTCGTTTCAGTGTATAGTTCCTGGGATGTGGGGAAAACTCAATGTTTTCGATGGATCAAGGAGCGTTTCAACCATTCCAATGTTCGCTTTTGTGTGATCGGAGACGGATGGGAAGAATGTGAAGCTGCAGAAATCATGAGATGGCCATTTATTAAGATTGACCCACGGCCAGGAAAGCCTCATAGGTTCCCTGGTCTCACATCCAAAACAGTTGGCCACTATTTTTCTGTGGTGTATCCAAACAACAAGATCAACGAAGAATGACGACTCTTTATGTTAACTGACCCTTTTCCAGGAAAGGGAAAACTGCAGCAAGGCCAATATTGTGCTGTCAAGTGTATAAATCGCCGCCATGTGATACCTGTCACAACTTAGGTTTTATTTTTTAAATACACTTAGATTTAAACTGCTCCCGTTGAGAGTTGATATCAGGTTGAATTGTTTTTCTATGCCATGGGTGAGTGATTACAAGTTAAGATGTAAATGTTGACATTTGAATGAATGTAGATCATCTACCTTTTCTCATGTACATAAGATGTTTCAAAAAAATATCTACGAACTTCTCTAGGCTACCATTTGGCAGGTGGATTGTGTCAGCTCATCATATGGGACTTTTATCGATCATTTGGCAGTAGGATTGTAGGAAGTAATACCCGAAGTCCGAAAGAAACTTAAATTTGATTGAAAATGAGCCACTAGGAGTTGGCATAGTGGGGAAGGTCTGAGTGAGTATGTTTTTTTCAAGTTTGAATTTTGTTAGCTGCAAACACTTTTAACGGAGCCTCCATTAGTAGATGATAGGTTTGATTCTTTTAGATTAGTCGGTTGCATGCCGGATATTAAGATTTAAAAAAAAAATTTGAAAATGAAAATTGAAAATTTTAGCAATCAATATTAGAAGATATAGGGTTATGACCTCTTTGATTGAGCTTTATTTTTTGGTTTTCAAAATCTATTTTATCAATCAATTTAAAATATTGTTTTGAAGAAAAAATAAAGAGTTTAATGGTAGTGCACTATCAGTGTAAAAAAGTATTATACATACATCCAATTAAAATATTTTAAAGTGGCTATTCATATAAATAATTAAAAATTTATAAGTTGATTTGATGGGATACATAGATTGTTATTCACAGTGTAAAAAAAATTTACATTATCAATGCACCATTCTTTTTTTTTTAAAAATAAAATAAAACACGCTTCTTAATCTTATTTTTGAAAATTACTTTTAAAATGAAAAAAATGAGAAAACCTGTATGACACACAATTTTGCAATTATAAAGCAAGATAATTTTATATACATTATCTTTCTATTTTAAAGTTGTACAACATTATAAATCTGTTATTAATAAAATTGTACAATTTTCTTGTTTCTTTTTTCTTTTCAATTTCCATAAGAAAAAGAAACAACTTCAAAAATTTTAATTTTTTTAGTTTTCAAATTTTATAAATAGAAGATAGTTTTTAAAAATAATTTTGTAGAATTAAGTAATTAAACTAATATTATTATTTTAAAATCTTTAAAACATAAAAACAGTTTTTCAAAACTAAAATCAAACACGCCTTTAATTTTGTTTCTAATCAAATTTGCTTTTAATATTTTATGGTTAAAATCTTTTGTTGTTATTTCTTTATAAATTGTAGACGGCCTGATCCAAACATATCCAGCATAGATCCTAATGTTGAAAATTTTATCCTATACTATTATAATTATGCTCACACCTCTATAACTTATAAGTTTGAAAATTTGTCATTTTTTTCTATTTCAAGTAAGACACCCGGTCCATCTGGAAGAAGTTGAGAGAGTTTGAGGAAATTTATATTAGAGAAAAGTTATCGATCCACTAGTATTTCATGAAGTATTGCATTCAAGTTATCCAATCTATAAACATTCAGAAGTCTTGCTTTCAAATTATCCGATCCACAAAAAACACTCTGGAGGTTTTATACTCAAGTTATTCGATCCACTCAAAAACAACTAGAGGACTTATAAATAAGTTATCTGGTCTTATTTTCAAAAACTTTTTTCATCGGAGAACCTGGACACAAGACATCTAGTCCACAAATTTTCCTTCATCGGGTGTGTTTTAGTCATGTCTGATAATTCATTTTTCTTTTTCTTGCAAAGTTGTTTTAAACTATTTTTTAGACTAGTGTCATGTCGGTGAGGAAGTGACGACAAAAGTATTTCTCGTGGAGGTGTAACACAGAACTCAAGCGGCAATGAATGTACAGAAAGAATAGGTAGGTGCGCTTGTGGATCGACCACTTCAATTTCTAGGAGGGTTGTACGACACGTCGTTTCTCGTACGTTACGACTAATATGTTGTTTGTCACTTATGGTACGACGAGGTAAGTAAATCTCAATCACTTTATGTTGAATAATCTTTAATTTCAATTACTATTTATATTTTAATTTGTTTTCAGGAGAGAGGTTCGAAGAAAGAACTAAAAGTTACATGACATTGAAATAAGTTGTTAGAGTGGTTCCACTATATCTTCCACCTGTGATTTAGGGTTGATTGGATGGTCATGGTTTACCTTCACTATAGAGAACTAGTTTAAGTAGGATTGAGCAAAACCTAGTATCAACATTCGTGGAGATATGAAATCTAGAGACACATCCTTTTATATTCCATTCGGTAAGATGGTCATTACTCTGGACGATGTTTCTTGTCTACTTCACTTCTCGATAAACATAATATTTCATTGGTTTCTTTCCTTTCCTTCATTCCTCCTTTGGTTTTTTATTTTTTAGGCGGTGGACAAATTGAAGTCGTAGTGGGGTAAACAATTTCACACACCATACTTTTTAATGCTCTTTTTCTTGAAACATCTAGTGACTTAAACCTTATCCACAATGCATCTATTGCACTAGTCATGTCCACCTCTGATCGATCATATGTGTCTGCCTTTTGTTGACCTTAAATGCTTAGTTTACTCAAATAGATATGAACAACATCTATTGGTATCAAATCACTACTTAGAGTGTACTTTTCTAACTCACAAGCACAAGGTAACACATATGATGCTTTAAGAGTACATCTACATATATGGGTGTTAGTTCTCACATAATCAACCATCAAGAACTCTTCAACAATGCATCTAAAAGTAGCTTTTGATATCGATTCATGCATATTCCCATAAAATGGACTAGTGTGCGCGTTCTTAATTTCATAAAAAATGTTATGAAATGAAGCTCTGATGTCCAATTATAACTTTAAGATGTTATTCATAGCCTCCCAACATTTTTACAAGTCATCTATAGTGTTCTAACATCCGCTTTAATTTTCAACGAGCATACTCAACCCTAAAATGAAAAAAAAATCAAATCGCCACACTAACCCTAAAATGAAAAACATTAAATTAATACAAAAAGTACATACCTATTAGTCACGGTGTTACCCAAATGCATCACTTAATTAATCCTTGCTCCAACAAATATATGCATACGAAGAGTCAACCATGTGTCTTTCACATAATCAATAATTCACTATAATTCACTATATTCACTATAATTCACTATAATCAATAATTCACTATAATCAAGTTGTTGCAACTATTGATGATACTCCTTCTCATCACTGGCCCATAAAACTTTCATCCATATTGTGTCTATCACCTTTTGCATATCATTCACAACATATTACTTGCATCTTGAATAAACATTTTTGTTGATGTGAAATCGATAAAACAAACTAACCCTCCTTGGAAACAAAATTTCAATTGCTTTCATCAAAACAAGATCTCTATCAGTCAAAATCACTTGTGGCCATAATCCTTGCTTAATAAAAAATTGTTTTTGCTTATCCAATACCTAATAAAATTTCTCTATCGACTCAGATTCTATATAGGCAAGTGCAACGAAAAATGTCAGTTTGATTGGTGTCATACTACATATTTCAAATAGAGGTTGTCTATATTTGTTTGTTTTGTACTCTTTTTTTCTACTCCAATAAGCATAATCTCTCACAACATCTGAGGCACCCCTTCTTATACTCCAGTAAGCATAATACGCATAATTTATTAGCTTAAACAAACATTGTATTTTAGTTCTAGGACCTCTAATGTCTTTTTGTAACCTACTCTTATGTTTATATATTTGCAATATCCGAGTGACATTCTCCAGATCTCGCTCTTTCCGGGACAACAATATATGTCTAATAGAACACAATGCCTTGTCAAATCAACATGTCGTCGCTCATCTGCACTTAGAAAACCAACAAACAAATAACCTTTTATTCTATCAGGTAAATCGTGGTTGTGAAGTCCACATTTCACATTAATCTTCTATTCAGAACCATCTCTCTATGGTGCTTATATGATTTTGAATGGACAACCACATTTCTTAGTAGCACTTTGTGTCGCACTATCTGCTTTCTTATATTTCTCACCTTTTTCACAACCAAATATTACTTTGTTACTTTTCTCTCCCTCTTTTCCGTTTAGTATCTAAATGAGTTAAAATAACAATCACTTTATGTTGGAATCCAACCTCCTTAATCCACCTTATCACCTTTTCTTGTGTATCAAAATTCTGTGTAGTTGAGAATTCATCAGCAGTATCTACACATATATAATTTTTATCACATATCACCAAAGGGATCTCCATATCTGTTAAACAACACATTTTTATTTAAAAAAATGCATACTAAATTATCGAATATCTTTCACTCAAACTTATTCAATCAAGTGTGAGGGTGAAAATTCACCAATTTTAAAAAACTAAAACTTAAATAGTAAAAATGAAATGATAATTTTGTTAAGATGTAAAAAAAGTTAAAATAAAACTACTTTAAAAATTGTAAGTTCGGGGAGATAAATGTAGGGGTTATGAGGTCAAGTTTTCCCTAATGATTACTAGACTATGTATTGAGATTGTAATTACTTGTGTCAAAGCAAGTGTAGCTTGACACAAATAAGGATGTGTTGAAATTAGCCTAGTGTATGTATGTGTCGAGTTGTGTTAGATGTCGAAGTGTTGAAGCATGTTGCTTGACACATGATTTCGACTTATACCAAAATAGAAAATTTGGGATTTTGTAATTTAGGGTTTTACCTTAGGGAGCAAGGTAGCTCAATTATAAATAGAGGGAGTAACCTTTATTTTGATTAAGAAAAATAGAGAATAATATTGTAACACACAACAGAAAGTGCAGTTGCACAATTGAATAATATTTTTTTCTCAGTTTGAGAGCAGAGAGTTACTCTACAAAAATCATTCACCTCTTCCCTTAGTTTGTTAAACCCTAATCTTCTTACTT